GGAGCGGGTTGCGCGGCGGGCGACAGGAGGCGCTGGGCGCGCGGGGGAAAAGCGGGATAAAGGACGGGATAGAGGTGAGAACGGGGACGAGGAGCGGCAAAAAGAGCCCGCGTCTCTCTGTATTGCCCAGGCTACGCTGCAGTGCCTATTCACAGGCGCGATCCCACTACTGACCGGCACGGGAGTTTTGACCTGCTCCGTTTCCGACCTGGGCCGGTTCACCCCTCCTTAGGCAACCTGGTGACCCCGAGCTCCCCGGGGATCACCATATTGATGCCGGCCTTAGCGCGGACACCCGCTCGGCATAGCGCACTGCAGCCCAGAACTCCTGGGCTCAAGCGATCCGGCGGGCTCAGCCTCCCCGGCAGCTGGGACTACAGGCGCGGTTTTTTTTTCCCCCTCTCGTCCTGTACGGGCTCTGCCTGGCCGCACAGGGGCAGTGGGGAACCGGGAGAAGGGGTCTGGCTCTGCTCACATTTTGGATGAATTCACAGGGAAAAGCGACCCTCAAGCGGCTTTCAGGAGCTGAAACGTTTTCGTTTTAAGCCAAAAGAGGCATATCAAGGTGCTCTGTGCACCCTGACAGCTCAGTTCTCTTCATTTACCAGAGGGGCTCAGAAATGCCCCGCTCCCAGCTTTGAAGTACTTTGTGTAGGGACTTCTTGTCCGCTCAGTGTTGTCCGAAGAGCTTAAAGCTCATCGCGGATGACACTAATGAGCTGTGGCAGTAAACACCCGGTGGAGCAGCCAGTGAGCCAGCACCACAAGCCAGAGCGCTGCTCCCAGGCTGGGGCGGCTGCTGCAGGGGTCACCAGCCCCACAGAGAAGTGACTCATGGGGGTCTCTCATAACAGGAGAAGTGACTCATGGGGGTCTCTCATGGCAAATGCTGCTGACTCCCTGTTCTAGCTGTGAAACCCACTGGGATCCGAAAAGGCTTGATCCAAAGACAGCGCTGGAGCTGCCAAGCGCAGGGTTGTGCCGGGGGGGAAGGTGCCAAAAGAGGCTGGGTCCCACTGTGTCACCCAGGCTGAACTCCGGGCACTGTTCACAGGCGCCGTCCCGCTACTGAGCGGCACGGGAGCTTTGGCCTGCTCCGTTCCCGGCCTGGGCCGGTTCACCCCTCCTTAGGCGACCTGGGGCCCCCCGGCTCCCCGGGGGACTCCATATCGATGCCGGCCTTAGCGCGGACGCCCG